ATAGGGTGATCATTCAGAGCCTCAGTACTGGACAAAACCCCAGAAGGAGGAGGCATCGGAGGTTAATCATTTGGAGCTTCATTACGCGATACAACCCTAGAAGATGAAGGCAATAAATGCCTTTGGAACAAACCCACAAACCTCTGATGATCAAGTAAAATCTAACCATCAAATTCCTGCATCTAGTCAAGCTTCCTATTCATGTTTGTAGCATAGTCATGTGAAAGCCTGTGCAACAGTTTATTCCAAGGTTCTAAAAAACGCTAGGCGCTAGTCGGGCGGTGGGCTAGCGCCTAGCGCCTAGGCGGCTAGGCGGGGTCTAGGCGGATTTAGGTAAATTTCTGATATATTATATAAATTAATTAAATTTACTATATAAAATGTAAATAATTATTTACTAATATACTATTTCTTATAGAAGAACATACATATATGAATGTTTTATGTACATATATGAAATGCTTGCCTAGGAAAAAAAAACAAAATATTATCTAAATAATTTATAATTTATATAAGATATATATATACACACATAATATATATTCCAAACTTTTAAAAATATAAAAAACCCATGGGTGGTTTTCATTGTTAAACCATCAAATCGTCCATCACCCATCCATCCCCATCACATGGTTTTCATCCACCAAAAACCATCAAAGTCCATGGTTTTCAATTTTAAAATCACAAACCGTCATGCTCTTTCACATCACCCATGCTTTTAGTCCTCAACTTGCACCACCAACACAGAAATGTTAGTCTCTCTCTCTCTCTCTCTATTTTCGCACTTTCTCTTCGCACTCTCTTCTCTGCTTTCATCTTCACAGATGAGCTGCAGAAATTATGAAATTATCTTCACGGGCAGTCTCACTCTCTCTATCTCTCTCTCTCTTCGCACCCTCTCTTCCCTCATCTTCACAGAGATGAGCTACATAAAATTTTCTGGGTCTCTGCTGCTACGTATGAGATCGGAAATTGTAGATCCTTTTACGAAAATTGCAGCAAGTTTGGAATTTTCAGCTAGATTCAAACCGCCTAGACTACCGCCTAGCGCCGCCTAGCCCGCCTCAGGCGCCTAGCGAGCGCATAGGCGGCCGCCTATATCCTCCCCGCCTAACTGAACGTTTTGATCTAAATCGAGTCGGAGCTCCACCGCCCAACGCCTAGGCGCCGCCTAGACGGCCGCCTAGGCCGATTTTTAGACACTGGTTTATTCTCATACTTGAGCCATCTAATCTCCTGTTTGAGACTTATTACTTCAGCCGCCAATGATTCAACTTGGCGGGTTCAAGCAAATAGGCGTTGGGCCATATTAGACACAGAACCTACACACTGAACACTGAAAGCCAAGGAATCCTTAACAGCCAACTCATCAGACCGTTTCGAAAGTAGTCTGTTATCTTTGGGAGTGAGAAGGTTTCTAGCCACCACCGCATAGGTCATATCATTTTTCATCACAGAGTCTCCAATGGTAAGAGGACCAGTAGGGGATAAGAAGAATAGGCACCATATGTTGTCTTGAGAAGGCATAGTTGCCTCTTCACCAAAGTTCAAGTCAAAACGACGGTTGGATGGGCCAGACATTCTCAGAAATGATGAAGGAGAAATGAGGTGCAATAAATCTCTGAAGTAAGGGGAAAATTCCTACAAGCAATAACTCTCTGAATGTACTTCTTGCACACAATTGGTGCCCTTATAAAAGAAAGGGCAACATGGTCGTTGGTTCAAAAATCGAAGAGGCACCACTCTTCAGATTTCGCAGAGGCACCACTTTCCACACCCAACATCAACTCTTCGAGTAGCACAGATAACTTTACCAAATATCTCTGACAAAGTTTAGACACGTAAAGCTTGCAGTTCCACTACATTGCTATGACCAAGAAGGGTAAAAGAATAGCAAAGAAAGGGCAACATGGTATTTGGTTCAAAAATCGAAGAGGCACCACTCTCCGGATTTCGAAGATGCACTACTTTCCACACGCAACATCAGCTCCTCGGGTACCACAGATAAATTTTGAAGGTCCAGCTACCCTACTATTACCCACAAGGGTAAAGGAACAGCACCACTGCTTGATAATTGGAAAGTCCCTATGTGTGTCAACCTCTGTGCTCCGTGGCAAGGCAGACTGGCAAAAATGCCCAACCTTTACTCACATTCGAGAAAACACTCCCAACAAGATTACTTGCTCAAAAATCGAAGAGGCATCGCTCTCCGAATCTTGAGAGCCAGACTCCCAACATGATTACTTTCTCAAAAATCGAAGAGACACCGCTATCGAAATCTCAAAAATCAAACTCCCAGCAGGATTGCTTTCTCAAAAATCGAAGAGGCACCGTTCTCCGAATCTCAAGAGCCAGATCCCTGATAGGATTGCTTGTTCGAAAATCGAAGAGGCACCGCTCTCCGAACTTCGAGAGCCAGATTTCCTTGGATAAAGCTTGTCTGCAATCTTCACACGCAACATCAGCTTTCCAGATACCACATACCACTTTTTCAAAATGCTCTGACAAAGTTAAAACACATGAAGCTTGCAGCCCTCACTACATTGCTATGATCAAGAAGGGTAAAGGAATAACATTACTACTTGTTGTTAAGGAGACTCCTATATATGTTGACCTTCATCCTCAACGAACAGGCAGACCTGCAAAAATGGTTAACCCTTCCTTATATCTGAGAGGGCACTCCCAACGAAGCCTCTCGAAATACTCAGCTTTATTTCCTCACGATAATACATCTGCAAACAAGCTATACCAGAGCAAGAATATCTCATATCATCAGGGTTAAAAGTAAGAGTATCTCATATCATGCTTTTTCTTTGTCTTTTCCTTTGGCATTGTTCTTACCTGCAAGACAAGGAGAAAGAGAGCAATCAGTCAGCACTTGGAATCAAGCTTCTAGTCAAGAATTGACTGCCTGGAACCCCTTGCCTGATTACTTACCTGGCATTGCTCTCGAGTACTCATCTTCAACATCTTATGCTTCCAGAGAAAATACCACATCTGCCTGAGGAACAGATAGGGCAAGTGAGAAGGATACAAGGAAGCATGTGGAGACAAGCGTAACAGAACACGTGCCGATACATCCACTACTTTGTCAACAGCAAAAGTATCTCATATCATCGGGGTCGAACGTACTCTAGATTTGATGGACTTGTTTTGACCCTCAAATTCTTGAGTCGGCCTTATACTCTGGAGGAAACCAGAAAACCCTCGAGCCTAGTTAAAAAATAAGCCTGTGGAAAGTTACTTCTTCAAAAGCAAAAGTATCCCATATTATCTCTTCTCCATTTGCTTCTCCTTATCCTTGTTGCTGTTTACGACACAAGGAGAAGGAGAACAATCAACCGGAAGTCGAAATCAAACCTCCGATGCAGATTGCTTGCTTAGAAGTCTGATTGCTTACCTTGTATGTTACCTCATTCGGCAAATCTCCTAGCTCGGCGACTTGGAGGACTCCTACTATAGGGTTTGTATCGCACTTGACCAAGCCTGAAACTACAAGTAAGCTTCAAGTGAAATTGATACATTACCTTGTGCATTTGCACTGGTTAAAGATATCACCCTTTGATGGAGAAAGAGTACTTCCAGAGAAGATGCCATATCTACCTATGAGACAGATAAGGCAAGTGAAGACGATACCACACTTCGGTACTTAGAAGTTTCATGATTACTCAGTGGCTTGAATCTTGCAAGTCCCCAACCGAGGAGCTTCCTTCACTCGGGAACTTAGGGGAGCACTGTTTGTACCATACTTGACCAATCCCGAAACTACTGAGCACCGGTCAACGTTATACCATCAAGGACCCAGAAGATTTTCCCTCCAACCAGGAGGCTAATCACAATGCGACACGTGTCGACATCAGAAGCCAATCACAGCGCGACACGTGTTAACATCAGAAGCCAATCACAACACGACACGTGTCAATGTCAGAACAAAGCTAGAAACTCTTCTATAAAAGGAGATCATTCTCCCACAATATTGTCTAATGTCATTTTTACTAAATCACTCACTAGTACTCACTAAATGAGAGCTTGAACATATGTACTTGTGTAAACCCTTCACATTTAATGAGAACTCCTCTACTCCGTGGACATAGCCAATCTGGGTGAACCACGTACATCTTATGTTTGCTTCCATGTCTCTATCCATTTACATACTTATCCACACTAATAACCGGAGCAATCTAGCGAAGGTCACAAACTTAATACTTTCTGTTGTATCAAAGTCTTCATTGATTTTGTGCATCAACAAGTGATGTATCAACCTGTTGTATCCCAAGCTTACAACATCTTATGCTCAAAAGATAAATGAGTATTTAGTATTTGGTAAATTGTTATGTGCCAAAGGAACAAAAGTGCTCGTAAATTAATTGGAATTTGGTCAACAATTTAGGTATATAATTGGATATATCGAATGATATATGGGTTATAGGGGTCATAGATGGGTTGATAACCTAATATGTTTTTCCTACAGTGTAATATAATCTCTTTCAAGAAAGGAGAGCTGATAGATAAATGTGTGTGTCTAGGAGCTCAAATTATAACATTGAATTTAAAACTGTAAGACAGCTTAAGCTAGCTATGGAGTTTGATTACTTCAGCCCCAAAGAGGAAAGACCAAGAAGTAGTTTGTGGTTGTAAATTAAGTCTAGTTTCAGAACTTTGAATAATATTACAACTTGAGCTAGAGGTTCATTTCGTTTTGTATACCTTTCAATTATTCATTCCTCACCATTCCTTTAAGAGTTTAGTAAAAAACAAGCATATCAAGCAATTTGACAGCGTCGTTTGGAACTTTGAGGTTCAAGTCGCAAAAAAACAAGAGCAAGTTGAACCTTACTTGAATTAATTAAAAGGAAAATTAGGAGAATATTCGGAAAAGACTTGGACAAGTTCTTCGTCAACGAGTATGTACAAGCAATGTTTAAACCCAAGACTTGGACTAGTTCTTTGTCAACAACTATGTACAAACAATGTTTAAACCCTGTATAATTGTTAATAAATTTGGATCCGACACAATGTTCTCTTCCACATTGCCAATCATTTGCTTCCAAAGAAACCCATTATATCTTTCTAGCTTGTAAGTTCTTCAATATATTATACATACCACTACCAGTATCACTGTATCAGTTCATGCTTTCTTTCCTAAAGTAAATTACTCTCTACCAGTTCATTCTTTCAAATTTTCAGGACAATCTGTCAAACATAAACAGTGTCCAATTACGCATGCCACGGATAATATGTCCATTCCATTAAGGTTAGTTTCTCTCGAAAAATAAAGGAAGTCCGCTATGAAAAGTAATTCATATTTTAGACAAATGATTTCCGCACACTTTTATTCTCCTTTTGCATACTTTACTGTTCTTCTGGCCTTCTTCGAAGTTACGGCACAAATTCGTGTTTTTCCCCCTTTATGATTAATTGCATCTTCTTCTCAGCCTTACATCTCACGATGCCAACATACCAAACCAGCAACCTGGAGGAGCTTCACCAAGTGAAAAATTTAAGTGCCTAAAATTGGATCGACTTCTTGCAAATAATCCACTGTGGAACAAAATATTTATAATTTCATGTGTGATTGCTGTGTCACTGGACCCTTTGTTCTTTTACATTCCAATCATCGATCAAGACAACAAGTGCCTTGGAATGGACAAAAAGCTGAAGAATGTAACTCTTGTTTTGCGACTGCTCGCAGATCTCATTTTCGTAGTGCATATTATTCATCAAATTTGTAAGGCCATTAAATCTGTCAACCCAAAAGAAAAGGAAAATTCCGGTTGGGAATCGAAAGCTATGGCAGTAGCCAGGAAGTTGTCGTGGCGCTCGATGGTTACTGATATTCTTGCTGTTCTTCCCATCCCACAAGTAAGACAATTAGAATTAAAGTTTGATCAATTTTTGGATGTTGTTATTGGAACTCCAGAGAAAATCGGTCTGCACTCCCCCAAGTTCTTTTTCTCTCTTATATTCACATGTTTAAAGTACATAATGATTTTTTTTTTTAGCGCTAATAACAACTTCCTAATGTTTTTTGTGAATTATATGATTAGCTTTAAGTTTAACTAGCTTTGTTTGTTTGTTTTGCCCAGGTGCTTTTAGTAGTTGTTTTCTTCAAAATGAGAGGCTCTGGATATTTGCAGAAAAGAAAGGTTCTAAACTTTTTTCTTCTTGCCCAATATCTTCCAAGGATTTATCGAATTCACCTATCCTCTAACAACCTTTCACAAACTGGAATATGGGTCAAAGGTGCATTCAATTTTTTCCTTTACATCCTTGCAAGTCATGTAAGTTTCTTTTCCATTGTCAATTTATTTTTATATTTTTAAATTAACTTACCCCTACCTGTTAACCTACTCTCCTTAGCTATTTGACTAAGTCGAGCGGTAATTCACTTTAGTTTGGTAAAACTAACTATTGTTTGTTTTAAACATTTGTACTAATTAAGAATTTACCCTTAATTTTACACTATATAATTAATTAGCTTCTTGTGTTTTAGGTACTTGGAGCTTTTTGGTATTTTTTTTCTATTCAACGAGAGACATCATGTTGGCATCAAGCATGCATGAAACAGAGCATTAGTGGTGTGATTACTTTTTACTGTGACAATCTCGGTACTACCCCAAGAGATAGAGATATTACATTATTTCAAGATGAATGTCCCATAAATGTTCCTGCAAATACTACACCGCCTTTTGATTTCGGAATATTTCTTGATTCCCTTAAATCAAACACCACGCCGTTGGATTTTTCGAGCAAACTCTTCTACTCGTTTTGGTGGGGACTGAGAAATTTAAGGTTGGCAATTCATCGACAACGAATTATTATGTACACATTTATCTTATTTTGTCACATTTCTTGATCATCGTTTGAATATATATATATTTTTTTTTGCAGCAACTTTGGCACAAATCTGACAACAAGTACATATGTGTGGGAAAACTTGTTTGCAATTCTTATTTCTATCATTGGATTACTCCTATTTTTATATCTCTTAGGGAATGTACAGGTTGGTGGTAAATCTCTGAGCTTATTTATAAATGTTTTTAAAATGACTAAAAGTGTCTATAGAAAAAAATATTTTTGGGTTTCAAAAAACACTTGAAGTATGTGCTGCTTCCACGAAACACTTCAAGTGTTTTTTTAGGATTCATTTGTTTTGTACTAAGATTGGTTCCAAAATCATTTTCACCAAAAACTTTTCAGTCATTTTAAAAACACCCAAACGAGCCTCTGTTATTTTTCCTTAAATTTTTCAATTATTTTCTTGATTAGTGTTTATTTTCAATATGTAGTGTATCAACAAGTGTATTAGTTTTATTTTCGTGTCTAATAGACTTACCAATAACAAGTATTTGTTGTGTGACGTACGTACATACAGACGTTTATGCAATTGGCAACTATAAAGTCGGAGGAGATAAGACGGAAGATGAAAGATCGAAAAATAGAAGAGTGGATGGATAAAAATGCTATCCCAGGACATTTGAAACAAAAGATCAAGAAAAACATAAAACAAAAACTGAAAGAAAACAAAGATGCTGATCTGGAGAATCTGATCTCCATTCTTCCTTGGTACACCATGAAACCCCTAAAGCGTTTGCTCTGCATGAATACCCTAAGGACAGTATGTGGGACCTCAACCCCTCTTATATCTTTATATGATGTGATTAATTAGATATGATTAAGCTAATCTGCATGCATGCATATAACATGTATAGGTACCAATGCTCAAAGAAACGGATGGAAAAGTGTTGAAAATGATCTGCGATTATCTGAGGCCAATGATTTACAGCGAGAATAGCATCGTTGTTCAAAGAGGAGATCCTCTCGATCGGATTATCTTCATTACGGAAGGGTTTATAGAGACTTATGTGGGCGGTGAACAGAGTCGACACCGTGCTGGATCATCGTCGGGTTCCCAATCCTCGTCAATGCCAACCAAAACGCTTAAAAAAGGCGAGTTCTACGGCGAAGAGCTTCTCAACTGGGCATCTCGGTCGCAACGTCCTATCTCCACCCAAACAGTTAAATGCCATACAAAAGTCGAAGCTTTTGTTCTTATGGCCAATGACTTGCCAAGTATAGTCTCCAAATGCGGATCGTTGTGGCCAAACATAAATCACAGCAACAACAACAATAACAATAATATTAACGTTACTCATCCTGAACAGCCCTTACTAAGTGGCGTCGAGAGCTCTACAGGCTCGACGCCAAGAATCCGGTATCTCAAACCTGCTGTACGCCCCCATTAGCCCTCCTGTGCGTCCCTTGTCCATGTACCTTATGAACAACAGTTCACGATTGTCGTTGCAGTTTTGTAGCGTTCTCTCTCTCCTGTTTGGTCAACGTGGCATGTTTTTGAATTCTCTCGTGGCATTGTTTAATGGGACGAACAGAAAGGTCTAATATGGCCCATTGGGCCTGGTTTAAAAATAAAGACTACAAGAAAGTGGGTTTCGTAGTAAGTTGGCCCATTGGGCCTATGAGCAAATAGTTTTTGTTTTGATGTAAGGCACCGAAAGCTTAATCTATCATAATCCTAATTAATTTTCCCACACATCGTTACAACTTGGGCTAACCCTAAACGTAAATCCAAAAGTCGTTATGTTATTAGCGCTCTAAAATAGTTTGATAAGTCGTGTTACTGTCATCAGCGCGTCAAAACAATTAGGATAAATCATGATGTTATTGTTATTAGAACGCAAAATAATATCCAAACCTAAACCCTAAGCCCCGAACAGGTACCTGAGAAAATCGGAATTTAGAGTATAAAGATAAAGTATAAAACCATAATTTAAAGTCGGACACATAATTATTTGATAGCCATAGTAAAATTTCCAATAACATTAATGTCAAATGTCCATATCATCCACAATTATTGAAATCCCACCAATGCCTCTGAAAGAAGAGCTCACGAACCCAACCCACCAACACTTGACAAATTATCTATTTTCTAGCTTTCCATTTGCTACTCAAGCAACCGTTGTCTCGACTAATAACTACTTCTCCCCGATTTGTCTTGCCGGAGTTGAAGATTCACGTAGCGCACTCACCTCCCTTCTCAAGAAAGAAGGCAACGCAAAGGCAGCTGAGTGCATCTGCCAAACAAACAACGCCGTTATTTTGCCTTACAAGTATATCTAAAGCAAACGAAAAGGATGCAAATACAGCAGATTGCTATGTCAGCTGAATCAGAAAATGACTCCTACCTCGGAGTTATAGAACTGGAGTTCTCTCGTATGTTTGAGAGCTCCTTCTAACTTCTCAATAGAATTGACGGGGTTTTTGAAATCAACGGGAGGCCCCTCTGTTGAGCACAACAGAAAACCTATCACACCACTGCATGACAAGTAATCTCACAAGTAAGAGTGATTTCATTATATCTACCTGGTCTTAAGAAGGACCGGATAAGCAAGGTGTTTAGTCTATACAACTTCACACGGAAGCTCAAGACATCTTTTCTATGCTAAAAACTTATAAATATATGTAAAGGTTGAGAGTGAGAGTGAGAGACTAGATTAATGCGAGGAAAGGAAACTACAGTGTTACCTTGGATACGTAGGAACACTCGCCCAAGCATATTCGACAGACCCCTTGAATGTTTGATGGCAAACAGAGATCAGATCTTGAATAAGATGTGTATGGAGCCACATGCTCTCTGCCATGTTACAGAGAACACCACCAGGCCTTAATGCTCTAGCTATTGTCTCAAAAAATGGCTTCTCTACAAGCTCTTGGGCGGGACCTGCATCCAAAGGAAACCGTACGTTTAAGCACTAGATTTAGAAATCTTATTATAACAAGTCTTTATATTGCACATCGAGATCAACCAAGGGAGATAGGAAGGAGGGGGGCACACAAAAGAAAGTAACCAGAAACAAACATGTCATCTGGTAATATTTATACAAAAACCACAGCAGACAAAGACATCTTTAGATGATCACAAATCAATTCAACAATAATTTGAAGTCAGCCAGCCAACAAGTGCACGGCAAAACTATTGTAAAAGTAAAAAACATACCAACAGGGTCTGACGAATCAACAATTACAGCATCATACTTCCCTTCAGGTGCAAGCCTTAAGAATTCAGTAGCTGTCATGGATTAAAAATGAGATATAATCCAAACACAAAGTCAATTTGACATTAACAATTTAATCAACAAATCGTAAGTATTAAACCTACCATCAGCGATGTGAAGGTGCACGCGAGGGTCCTCAAATCCAACAGCCAACCGAGGAAAAAACTTCTTGGACACCTACAAAAAGCCAAACAAAAGAAATTAGTTAGTCATCTCATATTCTTAACATAAAATACATGGAGGACATTACACCACTTACATCAATAACCATCTTATCTATCTCACATATATCAATATGCTCAACAGAAGGATGGCGAGAAACCTCCCTAAGAACCCCACCATCACCACCGCCAACCACCAGAACCTGCACAAAAACAACTATATGAAGGAAAAAATGCTTCTCATTTCCAGCACAAAAGTAAATCAAACTGCAATCACCAGGCTGTAACCAAGTCAAATTATTATAAGGATGTGGGTTTTGAATTCATGCTAACACCATTTCATATTCGATGCCCTATTCTTTGCCGAACAAGGAAACTGGTTCACAGAGCAAATGGTCATCCACAGGATAACTGCTGCCAAATCCACTTGCAGTGTGACAGAGTAATACCATTGTGCAGATATGGCTACAAAATCATGGCATCCAAGTCCAGCCAACATGAGGTAGATAACTACAATTTTATGAGCTAAACACTATATCTGATGCCTGGCTCGTAAGTCGTAAATCTATTCAATACCAGATAAAGTATTTTACTTTTGGAAATAAACGCTAAAAATTGATAAAGTATTTTACTTTTGGAAATAAACGCTAAAAACTGATCTTAATGTAGTTATACGATCTGTTCTCATGGTCATAGGTGATCGTTTGATCAAGAGATTCAGACTTTAAACACACACAACAAAAAAACACAAAGGTTGGATCATGTAAAATTACTGTCTTGGGGGCGGGAATTGAACAAAGAGGTAGATGTGCTATCATCTCCTGGTATGCACATTCATCTTTCTCACTCAGCTGGACAAGGCCATCAAGAACAAGCACTTTTCCATATATTGAGGACTGCATAAAAAGGAATTCAAGTCATAAATAAGACTAAAAGAAGGAACACAAGGTAGATAAACAACCAAATTCAACTGTCTAACACAAAAATGACAAACCTCAAACACCAAAATCTCTTGGAACTCTGATTTCCCCCTATACAGAATATTTTCTACTTTCAGTGAACGAGCTTCACCTGAAAAAATAATAATAATAACAACAAAAATGAAAACCATCAAACACAACTAGATGCATAGAAACTATTTCAAGTTAGAGGTGCGAAATTTCAAAAAGGAGTACTTTTATTAGAAGCAAAAAAGTTTAAAGAAGCACTACTTTAAATAGTGAGAAAAAGAAAGAAGAAGAAAACAATTACCAAAAGCTTCAACAACCAAACGAAATTCAGACCATGGAGTTGCCAATACAAGATATCGATGAAGCAAAAAAAGCTACTCCGTTCCTTTTATCTTTCCTCATTAAATGAAAAGCATTGTAAATTTGACAAAGGGTTCCTCTAATGGACAAGTTTTCCTAAAGTAATACTGAGAATGAAAGATCGCAAAATAAGCAAGAGATCATGACCAACAATAAAACTTAGCAACCTCAGTCAAGAACAGAAGAAAGGGATCTTGATCCACACGTGAAAAATGAAGCATGCGTTGTGTGGTATATAAAGAAACTACAATTGTGACCATGAAATGTGTGGATGCGTACAATTGCATACCTGGCCACATCGGGTTGTTGAAATAAAGCTTTTTACAAGCCTTCTCTGCAATCACAAAAAAATAAAAGAAAGTTTCAAATTATACAAACAACCAACAAGAAGTCCATTTACAAAGGTGAAAAATCCATATAGATAATGACCAGAGCGAGACTGGGATTCTGAGAACCACCCAGAAACAACAGTAGGATGACATTTTGCCTCCGGCTCAGGGATAGAAGCCCTAGCCTTCAAGCAACAAGAAGGGATGGCCTTCTCCGAACCATTCCCGTTACTCGCCTTCCCATCCATAGTCTTCTGGCATTCCAAACCTCTTCCTGCGCCTCCCTCCATATATTATCTTTTTCTTATCCGTCTCCAGTCTCTAACAATCAATACATACTCATAAGTAACATATAGCGGAAAAAATACATTCGCAATGAAAACCATCTTCAAGAATTAAAAAAAAAGGATTCTTCTGTCACAGTACAAACGCACTCATGTTGCACAAAGTTAAAGCATCTGTCTTAAACAATCAGATTATAACAAACAATGTTAAAACAAATGGCATACCAGAAGAACTATCACAAAAACTATTCCAAGCAAAAGGGTTTAAGCTAAAGTATCCGGAATTAAAAAAATGTAAAGTTTAAAACTTTTTGTTTAAGCAAGCTTGATTTGCACATAGAATCTTCCTATTAAAGCAGTAAGGATTTGATTTAAATCAACATCCACAATCAATGCAAGATCTTTTCCAAACTAAATCACATCACAAAATTCACAACACAAGCTATTAATCTACTAATTAAATCATGAATTTCTATCACACACCACCACAAAGAATGAAAGAATCATCTGAAGCTATTTAATTTATGTACTGGGTCCCAAATAATTTTTTTATTACCACAAAGCCTTGCGGAAAACAGAGAGTAGCGTTCTAGATTCATAGCCGACTACAGACTCTATTGCATTAAAAAGGAACTGAATTTCTGAATAGTACCAGACCAGTTCCAGCATTACCTCAGCAACAACTACTACAACTTATTATTTTTAAACTTTCCAGTCAAACGCCGCAGAGTAAAGTCCTAACCACCGTCAGACCTAACACCAAATAAAGAAATTACAACAAGTACCAAAGGCAAAAGATGGGAAATTTAAAAATAAATGAATTAAATTGATATATTCATTGTTGTTTTCTCTCCTGAAATTCTGTTTGGCTGCTGAGAAACCTTTCGAGCAAAAGGAAAAAAAGGGCATACGTTTCATTTGTTTCAGCAATTAACAGAAAGTAAAAGTTTTTTTCCATTTTCTCGGCCACAACTTTCCCGGGAAACAAACAAAAGCCTAGGGTTTTAAGCCATTAGCAAAAGAGGGTTCCCAAAAGGGAAGCCCGAGAGGGTGAGAATATCACTCTGTTTCTACAAAATTAGGAAAACTAATCAAAAAATAAAAAATGGGAAAATTAAGATCAAAAGAAACCCACATTTTTCTACAAAACTTGCAGAGCGGCAGAGATTGAATAGAAAGAATGAGGGAACGTACAGCAGGTCGTTGAGATGTAGAGAGAGAAGCAGAAACCAGAGATGTATATTTAGAGAGAGAGAACGAGAAGGGTTGATCTTGTCTGGGGTTGATCACAAATTGGGTTTTCGTGACGATTCAAGTGAGCGGGAAACGAAAATTAGCATGAACTGTTTTTATAGCCACACTCGCACT